CGGCGAGCACCAGGCCCGCGATCCACTTCACGGGGGCCATTATGGGACGTGCACAGTGTGCAGATTAAAAGCCGAGGGCGTGTTGGTGAGAGACTGGAGACCGACCTGGATTCTCACGAACAACCCAGAGGGAAGCGCCAGCTTAAGAGCCCCAAGAAGAGCCCCAAGAAGCAGGTCGCCAATGGCAATATTGTTACATCGCTACCAAAACACGGGCGCCAGTGGGTAGTGGGTGGAATCGACGCCATTACGAATATAGCCGGGCAGCCGGGTTCTGGTGCTGAAAGCGATGGGCTGAGGAGGTTACATTTTCTGGGCACGCTGCACATAATTTACAGATTAACTTTTCCATGCCGCCGTTGTGCATGCCAGGCGAAGAAGGGTGACCCCAGTGCTGCCCCTGGGGCTGATCCGGGGTGGCTGCAAGGCATCTGCTTGGCGCGCAAGATTGAGAGTAGTACCGTCAGGGGTAGTTCTGCATTTGTTACAAACTGAGACTTCCAAGTCGTTCTCGAGGGACCAGCAGCCGATTCTAACTAGGGATTGTGTCCTGCGGTTCAGCCCGGAAACCAGAAACACACCGGAGCGAGTGTTCATCTCCATACCTATTGTGGTGTGCACAGGGGGTTGCTCGCAAACCTCGCCGTGCCCTGCTTAGCGAAACCCACTGCGCACAGACTGTATGCGGACGGAGGGAAAGGGAAGAAACGAATGCTTTGGCGATGGGCCCTCCTCGCGTCGAAGCATGCAAGGAAACGCAGAGCGTCTCGGATGCGATTATGGTGGCTATTACACAGTACATGGTCCAGCCGCACTCTCGGCCCTAACAAGCCCGAGAGTGAGCATCTTTAAAGTAGTGGGTGAGACATGCATGGCCAAGCGCCGCTCAGGATGCTTCGAGTCTGTTCAAGAACGACACAGTCCTCCGCAAACTACCTAGGTACCTACCACGGTTGGTTGGGCTTCGACATGATTGTGGGCCCTAGCCCGCAAGTTCAGGGCCAATAGCTTGCCCTGAACGGCCCGAGTTCACGTCGCCAGGCACCGATCTGCCCCTTTTGCTCACTAGATTCCGAGCTTTGGCCTCCGCGGCCCGCCTCGTCACCTGGGGATGTCTCAGCGCAGCACGATCGTGACAGACGTGCGACTGTTTACTAATCATTGTTTAGACCTGCTCGCCCCGTTGGCTCGTTGATCGTCTCGCCCCGAGTCGGACGTGAGGGAGGGGGACCGGTCAACCATGTGGCGAACGAAGGGAGGAGGCTCCTCAAATAGCTCGAGGATCCGACACCATAGTCTATGGTCTGCCAGCGGGCATGCCTTCCTTGAGAGTGGACCGGCTCCCCTTCTCCGGGCTGGTAACATCGACTTCTAGCCCGCCCAACAACCGCCGCTCTAATAGCCCACATCCAACCCTGCTCCCCTGGGTTGCGTCCCCGTCTTGAATGCACTCGGGATGGCTTCACCCGGGGCGTTGCCGCCGAATGCGTACGAGGACAGGAGGGCGACCGTGATCGGGGTCGTCACCTTTTGCCTGCTGTGGTCGACGGCCGTCATCTGTCTGAGGCTGTGGACGCGCGGGGTGGTAATCAAACAGCTTGGCATCGACGACTATATGTGCCTCGTTGCGCTGGTGAGTAAGCCTGTGATTCTCCCGGTCGACTCTCCTGACAAAAGACAGCTCATGGTCTACGGTTGTGGCGTCGCCGTATGCCACATGACGGTGTATGGCCTGGGTAGGCACGTCTACATCATAAGCCCAGCGCATATCCTGCTGTATCTGAGGGTGAGTTCTAGCCCCCGGGTGGTAACTCCGTCTCGTCCCCGACGCTGACCCATGGCAGGACTTTTACGTATCTATCGTCATGTACTGCGCGGCGCTGCTGTTCATCAAGCTGACCTTCCTGTTCCAATACTACCGCGCGTTGGCGGTTCTGAAGATGCGCGTAGTCTACATCGCCAGCATCATCGTCGTTGGCGGCTGGGCGCTGTCGCAGGTTTTGGTTGTCATCTTCATCTGCACGCCCGTCTCGGGCTTCTGGGACTCGTCCGTCGAATCTACTTGCATTGATAACCATACGCAGTGGTACGTCAACGCGGCGGGCAACATCATCACGGACGTGGTTGTCTTTGTCTTGCCTTTGCCGGCCATATGGTCCCTGAACCTCCCGAAACCATCCAAGATAGTGTTGCTGGTTATTTTCAGCCTAGGCTTTTTGTAGGCCCCCCTTCCCCTCGACTCCCAGCCCCCTTGACGCAAGCTAACACATCCGCGTCAGCACCGTTATCATCTCCATCATCCGCATCCGCTACCTCAAGCTGTTCGAAGACTTCCCCTAGGAAAACGTCGACTCGTCCCTCTGGTCCATGGGCGAGCTCACGTCCGCCCTCACCTGCGCCTGCCTGCCCACCATGCGCCCGCTCATAAGCCGGTACTTTCCAGCCTTTTTGTCTCAGCCCGGCCGGTACGCCAGGGGGTACGTCAACACCGGTTCCGGTGCCACCGGCCGGCGAGCTGGCGGACCCTCGGCGCTCGAGTCCGGGACGGGCAACGGACGCGGGATGCCGAGCGGCGGCTCCGAGGCTGTAGACGACCCGCTGGCGTCTCCGAGCGGGAGCGAGGTGGAGCTTGCGCAGACGAGGTCGGGTGCAATAAGGAGCAACCCGTTTGAGGTGCATGTCGTGCATGAGCTGTCTGTGGGCGTAGAGAGGAGGAGGGCAAACTCCGCGGCGTTTGGAGTCAAGGGGTATGTTTTGCCCGCCGCGCCTAAGAGCGTGAGGAGTAAGGGGTCAAGGGGCCGGATGTAAAAGGCTTTTTCTGGAGTCTGTGATAATGCTGTTTTACTATTAATGATTAATATTACACGATATTCCGTCTTTCCAGTCGTCTTTCTAATTCTCCATACCACAAAAAACTTGGGCACGTGGGATGCAAGGGTTAAGCTCACCGAACTTGAAGATTGAATTCAGGGGCAAGGGCAGGTAAGTCATTAAAGTCAATTCGCTGCGAGGTAGGTACTTATTATTGCGCCTCAAACCGTTTCCTTGCCGCTCAAATCCTATCCTCTCAGCCGGCGCATAAAAATCAAGCTTACCGAGTCGTTCGACAAATACATAGGTACCTACTTACCTAGGTAGGTACCAAGGTAGTGGGCACACCAACATTTGTCATATGTAGGGGATCCTACCACTATTAGCACCCTTTTCAGTAACTGATGTTCAGCAACTGGTCACGCAATTTGGGAGTTAATCTATCTTGACCAGAATTCCCCGGATGTGGTGCGGAGAAGTTCCATATTGGAATTATTATAGCGTAGGATGCCATTCCCAACCGTAAGCTGGTACATACTGGTGAGAGAGCCAGATGATGCGAGGCTCGGTCTATAACTGGAACCGATCCTCGCCTGTGAACAAGTTGAAGTAAGCCCAGTAAGCATTTGTCATCCTTGTGCGGGAGTACAAAATGCCAAATAGATCCCGCTCTTACGGTCGGTTGAGATATCAACCTCAAGTTATTAGCCAGTTCTCGACGACTGAACTCCAACATTCACATAACGGTATCGTCCCAGTATTCTATGCCCAAGACATCAACCATGAAGGCGCACCTGGCTATTCAGCTCGCGGTCTTCGCCGTCACTGCCCTAGCCCGCACCGAGGTGATGTTGCCACTGTACACACCACCTGGTGGCATCCCGGCAAGGCCAGACTGGCAAGCCGCCGTCGACGCCATCCGCGACAACCAAGACATGCACTTCTACGTGGTCATCAACCCCAACAGCGGCCCCAAAAACACGTCCAGTCCCGGTAACATGGGAAGCTGCAATCTCTGGAACGCAACCGATCCAAACGACCCCGACTACCTTGAGCATGGCTGCAACCGGGACTGGTCAACCAACGTCCACATCCTCAACCAGTTCCAGAATGTACAGACACTTGGCTACATAGCTACCGGATATGGCAACGTCGACAGACGGAGCATTGAGCAGATCGAAGAGGATATTGCAGAGTGGTAGGTCTAGTCACCCACGACCACTCCCACCACTCCCCATCCAAACCCTAACACTAACGACACCTTTCCCCAGGGCGGCCTGGGACATAGCCCGAACCTGGAACCTCAACGAAGTCGGCAACATCTCCATCCACGGTCTCTGGTTCGACGAAGCAGGCATCACGCTCGGCAACCGCACCGAATACCTCGCGCTCACGTCGTACGCGCGCCAAGTTTTCACCACAACAGGCCCCTCCCCACGCCACCAATTCTCCATCGTCATGAACCCGGGCTCCAACCCAGACCAGAACTACGAGGACGACCTCTTCGGCATGGCCGACGCTGTCGTCGTCCGCGAGACGTGCTGGACGAGCGTCGCCAGCGCCGACTGCCCGCCGCCGTACGAGCCGTTTGATTACGCCACGCTGCGGAACGGGTTTGGGCTGCCGTATAACGAGCTCTACAGGAACAAGACGGTGGTGCTCGTGCACCAGGTGCGTGGTCCGCCTGCGGCGAATAATCAGACGCTGTACGAGCAGGTTAAGGGGGTGGTGGGGCTGGGTTTGCATAGTACGTACTTTACGAGCGGGAACTGGTCCGAGACGAGGCTGCTGCCGGCTTCGGTGGGGGTGGTGGCCGAGAGTCTGTCGAGGGCGAATAATGAGACGAGTGCAGGGGTTGCCTTGTGATTGGTGAGTTGAGTGCCATCTGTGGCGGTTGGAGAGAGGAGGAGGGTGGCGAGTGGCTTAAAGTGTAGGCATTCAGGAGTGAATATTCTCTCCTCTCCATTCCGTACCACGCACTTGTTCTCAAATACATGTCCATGATCCTCGCACATACGTCCGGCGACCTGAAGGAGGTTGCCAAAAGGATATGAGTAACATGGGCTTATGTATGACGTTTCTTCCCGGCACCGAATCCGATCTTGCCGATCTCGAGTATGTCGTCGACGCAGATCCCCCGCTCTCCAACCCTAAGAGGTTAAGTTTTGAGCCTGACAGCTGAAATCAACGGGCGGCTGGTGTAGTTGGTTATCACATCTCGTTAGCAAAGTTATTCTTTCAATCGAGAAGGGGTTAGGTTCAATTCCTAGGCTGTCTATCTTTTACTATTATGTTGAAGAAAAGGGTAGTAGAGGATTGAAAAGGGGCTTATCCAAGCAACGAATAATATAGTACCTTTACTACTTTATAGATATACTTAAAGATTAAGCTTAAAGTTTTTATTTTACTATATAGATTCTTATTAGATATATAGGTAGCTTAGGCTAGCGAGGAATATCTGTAGACCACTATACCTATAACCCCTTTACATGTTGGATAGGGTAGCCAGTCGATTCCACGGCCCCACTCTCCAACGCTAAAGGCTCAGGTCTGGAGTGCTCAAATCAATGGTCGGCTGGTGTAGTGGTTATCACGTCTCGTTCACAAAGTTGAATAAATGGGTTCTTCCCACCGAGAAGGTGCCAGGTTCGATCCCTGGGTCGATCATCTTTTGCTCCAATTTTGTACTTTTTTTTTTACCAATTCCACAGCTCGGATAAAAGATTGACTGATGTTTAACATTCACTTTCTACCTGCGGCTTGCTCATTCCTCTCAGTTATTGCATTACCTCTACATCTTAGCGTTAACCATCCTGGCAGTGTGCTTGCTTCCAGCCCCGAGGGTCCATCCATCCCGCTTCAGATTGTCACTTCCCCTCTCCAACAGTTTCTCTCTTCTCACCTGTCTAATAACCTCCCGCCTTCCATCGCCAAGGGGAAGATTACTGTTTTATACCCTACCCAAACCTACCTAAATAATGCTCTCCCTCTATCCCCCACCCCACCCCACCCCAATGCCAGCCCGCACCCACATGTTAACACAATGCAACGTGGCGATGAGCCTGTACAAATGCTCTTTGCCAATGACTGATCTCACCAATACAACGATACAACATATTCATCATTAGGCCATTCCATGCTCCCCCAAAGACCTGCTCAATGCCTATACCAATCCTAGCCACCGGCGCCGCGTTCCCCACAACCACCGGGCCATGTCGAACACCAATGAAGCCCTTGCGCACCTGGCTTCTTTTCTTCAAGCAAAGTAGCTCTTCCAGAGCACACCCTCCAGGTCCTCAAGCTGTTCACTCGTAAAGTACTACATCCAGCACAGGTTAGCAACGCTCTCTGTGATATATAGGGGTACCGATACCACGCCGTCCAAGACACCGAAAACAGTCCTTGACACGACTGCAAGAATGAGAAGCAACATACCTTCTGATCGACCCCCCAACTATCCTGCCTCGTCTTCTTGAACTCCGCCAAGATACCCTTGGTCGCCTTGCCGACGACACCCGGGTCGTTCGCGGCGCGCGTGGCCAGGCCGGCCAGGACCTCGGGCATCCACTTGGGCGGGGGCGTGGCGTAGGGAAACGCCTCGATGAGGGCGCCCAGGCCGAGGACGGCGGCGTGGCGGCGCACGATCTGCCTCTGCGTGTCCACGGGCGTGTCGGTGCCGGGGACCTTGCGCTTGGGCAGCGGGTTCAGCCGGAGCTGCAGCTCGAAGCGGTCCTTGAGCTGGTAGATGATGGGGTTGCGGATCGACGCGGGCGAGCAGCGGATCATGCCGGCCAGGGTGGCGCTCGCGCAGTCGCGGACCTCGAGCTGCGGGTCGGCGAGCATGTCGCCGACGGCGTCGAAGAGCATTTGGCGCTGGGCGGGCTGGGTGAGGAAGAGGCGGCGGAAGTAAACGACCTGCATGTTGACGAGGGCGCGCAGGCGCTGGTGCCACGACGCGGCTGTTTTGCCAACGCGGATGAGCGCGGCGATGAAGGCATCGTCCTCACCTGATCGGAAGGGGATGTTGGGCAGGTGCCGGTAGACGTGGTAGGCGAGTTTCATGAGCTCAGGGTCTTCCTTGACGTCCATCATATGCAGGAGTTGGTCAATGAAGGGGTCTGGGAAGAACGGGACCAGCTGAATGCATTCTTGCGACGAGAGCGTGCTGTCGAGCCAGGTAAGAAGCGTCTTGGAGCCCGAGGTGTAGCTGGAGGGGGTTTGTTGGCCAGGGGTGCGCTCGTGGCGCCACTTCTCGATGCGGGAGAAGACGTTCGTGATGGTGGTTGTGAATTCTTGTGATGGCTGGTAGGCCCGGATGCCGATCGAGGATTCGGCCTTGTTCTGCTCCAGCAGCGTCGAGACGTCCTTGAAGGACTCGTGGTACCGGGTGCGGTAGATGGTGGCGATTATCCTGCCGATCGACTCTCTCACCGACTTGTACGGGTGGTCGATATGGGTGAGACAGTCTTCAAGGATGGGCTTCTCCTTGCGGAAGTGCCAGCCAGCGTCGTTAATGATGATTTCGATAAGCCCGAGCTTGGAGGACTCCTTGAATGCGGCGTTCGAGGTCATATCTAGCCGGAATGATGCCAAGGCTTCGGTAAGCTCATGGGATCGTCGCGGATCTTTACCGTCGATTATAACATGGAGGCACGCCATCCAGTAGGACAGGTTGTCGGGAGTCAGGTCGTCTGCAATGATCTTGAGTATCATCGGCGCCGCGAACTCCCATACCTTGTCCCGAATTTCCTGCGGGTCGTCAGCGCTCCCCGTCAGCAGCGCGCCGAGAATCTCCGCAGTCGCCCGGTGCTGGTGCTTGTCACTGCCATCACCGTACACCTCCTTGACCATCTCCACAATGTCGTCGAACGTGGCGGTCGTTTTCCCATAGTGCATTAGGTCAAACACGTTCATGAGCAATACGACGTTTTGCATGCGGAAGCGGTCCGCGAAGGCATCTCTCGGTTCCTGCTTGAGGTACTCGAAGCATTTCTTAAACCACTCCTTGGTGATGACCTTTCCGATCTGCTCGCGCACCCGGGTTTCGACCTCATCATAAGCTAGGAACGGCTTCGGCTTCGCGCGGGACACGGTGAGGTCCTTCCCCCACACGAGCCAGCCCGGGTGATCACAATCGACAAAGTATTTGACGTCGTCGTGATTCTCAAACTGGGCAAGGAACTTCTCCGTCACGCCAGGGTCATCGGTCGGCACCGCTATCTGGAACTTATTCTCGTCCTTCTCTCCCTCGGTGAGGTAGTTCCTGTAGTCGTGCCCGTAGACTGCCCGCATGTCTATGGCGGTGAAAAGCGCGGAAAATGCAGAGAGGTAATTCGACCGTAGGCTCGGGTGCTGGTCATTGGCACCGTTGGCGATGAGGTCGATGAACTCCGGGTTGCCAAGAGTGTCGAACCGCAGAGTGCAGTTCAGAGCAAAGATTATGCACCTGTTTGCAACCTTCCAGTGAGACTCGCGCGCCTTCTCAGTTAACTCCAAGCCCAGGGCAGCTTTCTTCTCCTCAACCCTAGTGCGGCGGTCTTTGATGAAGTCGCTGCGGCGCTTGATGGTGGCCGAACAGTCTTCGCTAGGCCGGATTGTGTCGACCATCTTTTGGTCGAAAATGATCATACGCTCTAGCGGTTTGCCAAACTCGAGGAGCGGATAAAGAGCGGATGACCCGAGGTTTTGAATCGATGACTTATCAACGCTAGCGGTCTGGATGTACAAGCGCATGAGGTCTGGCGCAAAGCGCCAGTCTCGCATGACGGTCTTGATCAGGGTGGTGAAGAGGAGAGTGTACATCGCTCCCTTGATGCGGTCATGGTCGTTTTCCTCCAGCGCCTTTCGTAGCCTGTCCAGGACGACGGGTATGACGAGCGGCCTTCCTCCGAGCAGGACCTTGAGGGACGAGTCTTGGGCGCCTTGGGCCACTCGGCGCACATCGGAGTATGAGGAGGTACATGATTCGGCAAGGTCAAGCAGCAGCTGCTTGTCGAGTTCGCTCTTCTTGCGGTATGCGGAGTTGTACTTGACGCGTTGAAGCTGGTAGGCATCCGCGCGCTTGATCAGCAGCGGCCGGGGGTAAACCTTGCGCAGACCGCTGATCTTGAACGGAGAAATGTCGGCCTTGTACAGCCGCACAAGATGTTCGAGTGGGTGAGCAGACCGTTCAATACCCACATCCGTGATCCACGTCCTATACGTGGAGTACAATGCGGTAAAGCACGCAACATCGTCCTCCTGGCTCGCGTTTAAGAAGGCGTGCGTGCGCGAGAGGACTCTGCCAACGTCTTCACGTAGGCCATGGATGCGCTCATAAACCGGATCTTCTGGGCTCAGCAAGTACCCGGCCGGATAATGGAATTGTCGTTTCAGTTCGTCATCATCAGCAACCTCAGCGAGGGGGTCATCGTCCTCCTCCATCATCATCGTATCGTCATCCGCGTCACTCTTGCCACCTCCGTTGGCACCTTGGGCGCTCCGTTCACCAGATGCGCGGAGTGGGTCGAAAAGAGTGGCGACACCGGAGATAATCAACCGCAGCGCAGTCAAGCTCCGCGATAGCTCATCAGACCACTCCTTGTTCTTGCCCTTCCTACTGACGGGCGGATCGTCGCTCATGAGTTGGTCGAGCCTCTGAGCAGCGCTCTTAGCCTGGCTCTCAAAGAGCTCGACCGCGAACAGGATCTCGGCATGCGAGGGACGGTGCCACTTGATGGTGAGGTCGGACGGTGCGGTTGTGCGACCCCAGTCATGGACATCTAAGCCGCGAGCGATGCGGTCGGGCTCGTAGAGGGCGTTGTCGATCGGGTAAGTGTGAGTTAGGTTGAGGAGCAGGTGGTGGATGTAGTTAGAAATGTGAATAGTGGGCAGTCCGCGGCACTTCTCCTGCATGTACTCGGCAATCCCGAAGAGTTCGTGTTTGTATTTGACGACCTCGGCGCCAACGTGGACTACGCACATGCTCAGCATGCTGACGTGCCAGACAAGTGCGCGATCCCGGGGAAGCACCTCGGTGCCGCTGCTGCGATCTGACGCTGCGCCGTTGTAATCGATTTCGTTGCGAATATTGACCATCAACATCGGGATGAAGACCTTGAGCGTTTTCTCCGGGTTGACTTTGCACAAGGCATTGCATATCCACGCCATCGCATCCCGAGCTTGGTGGACCACGTGGCTGGTAACGAATGAGGCCAGCTTCTCGAGCGCCATATCGAAAAGCTCCGGAGATAATGACGCGAAGAGGGGTGTAAGTGCAGCCGGCAGGGTGTTGATGAC